TTCATAGCGGATACATTTCAATTTAAGGAGGTCCTGTTAGCTCTGTACACCCTCAGTATGGCTGCTGTTGGTGCTTGTTGAGAAAACGCCTATACATGATTAAAGTCAGAAGCTACTTCAAGCAATCTTCATGAGCTAATGCCAAAGTTAGGATTCCAGTTTGACAGCACAGCATTAAGCCTCATTGTAGACACGGCTGGTTATCAGCCTCATCTTTTTTTATGGTAGGTTTTCAAAAGTTGTCGGATTTATTGTGTATTTGTTTTGTTATCTAATTTTTCCCTATTTAAGCCAAAAATATTGCTTATTTTAGACAGTACTTGATTGAGGTAAAGTATTTGTAGTTGTGTATAGACGTCATTTAGGATTTTATTGGTTGAGGACTTTGGATTATTTTGTTAAAAGCAAACAGGAGTTTATATGGAAACATTTGATGTAAATTCAGGTATTAAAAAAGTACTGTTTTGTCATCTATACTCACTTATTATGGCACCAGCATTGTGAATATTAAACTAATGATTAGCCTTTGTTTGTTTTACAGCTTGAATGCTAAAGAAACCATTATTTTTGTTGATTATGTGAAGTATTTGACTATGAAGCATATTACTGGATACTAGGATACCTTCCAATAGCTGTACAACCAGGATCCACTCTTTAATTCTCCCTGAGATCACATCGTCTTTGTAAAGCATACCACAATTGAGCTGGTTTAGGTAAAAGGAGCAGTCAGAGTGGCATCATGCACTAAAAGCAGCAGTGTGTGTCTGTTGTCTGTGAGAAGCTGCTGTGCAGGGATCTTGAGGAATGCAGGAATGCAGCTGTTTGGAGCCACAGCAGACAGAAAGCTTTGGAGGACTTTGGGTGGGTCTTAGGTGAGCACACAGAGTTTAGCCAGGTGACAGACCTCTGCGTTAGCTTTTAAAGCACATCTGTAACACCAGGAGAACTTAAAGCAGTAAGTACTTTGCTTAAACAGTTTCATGTTGCTGCTTTGAGCTGAAGTTGGTGTTTCTGGTTCTTTTTGAATAGCTAATTGACTCCTTCCTGTAGTGAGTCATGCAGTCTTTTTTTAATCTTCATAGCCTGTAAATTTTAACCCTTTTTCAACATTTAAGGAACAGATGTTTCAGTGTTTTACATGTACATTATATGTGAAGAGAAAAGACCCTTGTGCTTTAACTCACAGGGACATTAGTGATCGCTTTTACAATCATTTGATACTGACATCGTGAGTCATTGCAAATATATTGACGTATTGAGCTATAGTCATCTCCTTGTCTGTTAAAGTGCATTGTTTTCCCAAATGAATTGAAATAGGCGGGCTGTTTTTGTTTGCTCGCTGAAAAAAGTATCTAGGTGGTTTGTTCTATGTGCTGCCTAACCTGTATTTGTTAATTGGCATCTGTCAGTCGTGGCAGACTTGTGCAACGCTTACTGATGTCAAGACTGAACCTCAAGGGGCGGTCATGTTGTTTGTGTTGGTTTCCAAGCATGTTTTTAAAGTAGAACGCCTCCTGAGGTAAATGCAAATGCTCACGCATGGAAATGTATGCAGTATTGTCCTGACTTGTTGTAGAAATGCACAATGGACTGAATGTGTCTGATGGGTCAGAAGCTGAAAAGCTGTGGTACCGATCAAGGTGTTCCTGTAAGTCATCAAATCCTCTTGATCAACTTTCTTTAATTTCAACTTAGCCATTTATTATACCGGGAGGATTCCACATTTAGTGAGGATGTGGTCGTAGAGAGCTTTAGGTTTCCCATAATGTGCATTTCTGTAAAGGAAAGTTTCAGGCAAGTGATAATGATGTCATTCAGTTGGTCAGTGAGACATGATTTGTTTTTTTTCTGATGACACGTCTGATATTATGTTGTAGACAAGAAGAGGAAGCCAATACCACAGCAACCTCAATATTTTCAGTCAAATATAATTTAAAGCCGTGTTTCAGCGTTTCCTTAAATTAGGTCAGTGTTAAACCAAAGGGTGGATACCAAACCGCAGCACTACTTGATTAGTGTGTAGAAAGTTTTGTCAGCATACAATGAACATGTTGATGCTGGCTTAATATGTTAGCCAGCATTTTGTAAAAAACAAAACAAACAAAAAAAACCACCTACTTTGATCTATTTGTATTTCAATGTTGGTCTTTTGAAAATTTGCCAATTCCCAACATTGCCCTCACAATATTACAATGAAAATATCTAGCAGATTTCTTTATCAAATGCAGAATAACCCTGACCATATCATGCTATACCAGCATATAGTACAGCTGTTCTGTTTTTTTTTGGCTATAAAGTTGTTGTTTTTTGTGGTAACTTGGCAACATTCAGTATTTACAGCAGCAACAGGAGCAGCATGACTTCCCCTGTGGCAAAGGCATGCCCTGAATGCTTGTGACCTTATTTCTTCCTCTGTGCCTCTTCTTCCTTATTCTCTATCTGAACAATATCATGTTGACTACTTCCAACAGTCAGTCAGCTAGTATTAAAAATGTTTTGAGGAAAAAAAACGTATGCCAGGAGAGAAAAGGTAATATTGAAGAGGTAGGTCTTAGTTGGACAAATATTAAAACTGGTTTGACTTTAGGCTTTTTCTTTAGTTTTGTTCTTACTTTGAGTGAGAATTTCCCCAACATATTGAAGGTTTGAAGAAAAGTTCCTAACAGCTGCCTTGTGGTTGCAACAGAGCGAGAGCAAACACTGTACGTGATTCACAAGTTCTAACAGAGGTTGTGACCTTATTGGTGTTAAATGTTACAGCAGCATGTGAAGCAATCACTGACTGTGCTGAGGTGCTATCATTTCTAAATCAGAGTTCAGAGTGGTGCAATTTGCGATGTTTTCTGACTCAACTGCTCCTCCTTTCCGTCGTTCATCCCTCTTGTTTCCCTTCACCGGCTGCAGTCATTCACAGCCTGGTTTTAAAACCTGAGGCTAAGCTGGCTTGACAGTCTGACTCACTCAGAGGCTTACAGGTGCTTTTGAAGTGAGACAGTGATGGTGGATGTGGATTTTTGTCACCGCTGGGACTCTCGGCGTCTTTCAAGAACACTTTCAAATTCCAAGCAGGTGTAAAAACCATCATCCGTGTCTGTACGTTTGTCAATTACAGCATGTTCTCCAGCGCAGTGATTCACAGGCTGTGTTTTTTATGGAGGCAAACCTATGAACTTGTTTTATTACTTTGAACAAAAACAATAATGTTCACCAACAGGCTGGGTTAGGTCTGACTGAAATGATACACCACTGTACAATACACTGGGCTAGATGTGACACTAACATCAGGGGTGGAGGCGCTCTTCTCTTTATTCTCACCACTTAAAGAGCTGGGCCGGGCTCTGCTGCGTGTTGTGCTCCACCTGCATACCGCTAAAACAGGGAGGTGTGTGCGTGGTTGCTCACGAAAAGCAGTTTATTTTGTACACTGTTGGTATGCTTCTGTAACACCTTAAAATAAAAACAACCCTGGGTGCCGCTATGGCTCACCTGGTTAACTGGCGTCCCATTTACAGGGGCTATAGTCCCCGATGTGGAGGTCGTGAGTTCGAATCCCGCTCATGGCCCTTTTCCCCAGGTCATTCTTCTCTCTCGCTACTGCGCTATCAAATAAAGGCAAAATTGCCAAAAAAATAAATAAAAAGATCCCTACATTCTTCAGCTTTTACAGGTTGTTTTAATTGGCTGATAGGAAGGGAAGCACTGAATGTTTACATTTTCTTCAAGTTATTCAAAATTGTGAAGATTGTTGCACAGTTTTTCGAGCCAAGAGCTTCATTATGAGCCTGCAAATTTGAAAACTGTAGTATGAATCCTTAGCAAGCTGTATGGGTTGCTGAGCTAATGTTACTGCTTTCTATCTGCTTGAGTTGGCACAAACGGGCAGAGCTGGATGACCTTTTGACATGCGGGAATGATGTATTTTCTTCAGAATGTAGTCATGCTGTACGGATTAGTTTTACCCCCGGCTGAGGTCTGGTCACATAGTGAGTCAGTCCACTCCCAAATGTTGCACAGCTGACCTGATCGCATTCCAATCCCGGTGTGTTCTGCCTGCAGTTATACCCTGCATTAATGCAGACTTTCTTTAATACATGTTAATGCCAGGGATCAACTGAGTAACACTGTAAGACATTCCTTTCCAGTGTATGTAAACTTTTGCTCAGAACTGTTTATTTTAGATAATAATTGAACATTATTGCAGGCACCAGAACAGTCCACCAGCTGACGTATGCAAAACTAAAATAGGGGGGGGAATCAGTTTGCTTTTATTAACACACAAAAGTTCTGATTTGTCATTCTTACACCTTTAAAAGCCAGTTTTCTACAAGCTAATGTAACAGAACTTGTTCAGGTTATCTTAGGAGAGCTTATCAAGAGGAAAGCGAAGATAAAGATTACAACACAGTGAAAGTGGCACAACTTGATTAATAGTTGCCGTGTGAGGAAATGCACTTCAACACGGATATCCCTGTTGTGTATGTGTGAGCGTGGAAGCATCCAAGTCCTCAGCCATGTCAGTCAAAGACCGACTGCTCTCTGGGTTCCTTTGAGGATGAGTGTGCATCATCTCTGATTTCACCCCGTGTGACCTCAGCGGAAGAGTCGTTTGTTAATTGTACATTCGATGTTACGGTTATTAGTTGCTGAGGTGACCACAGACTGCAATAATACTGAGTCTTCCTGCTCTGTGCTGTCAGACAACAGTCACGCCCTTCAGTCTGGTTTGAATCAACAACCTCTGCATGTTTGTGAGCATATTGCAGCAGTACATGTTACCTCTCTGTCTCAGTCTTAAAAATTCAAATCTGAAGCTGTGGTTGTAAACATCTCTGCATAGCCTCAGCTCCAACCAGGAATGAGCTTTATGGAATGTTGTGTTTTCCACAAGTGTTGCTCTTGTGAAATCGAGTTGTTGCTGTGTGGAGATCTTAAAGTGATTACGATGGTTTCTTGTTTTCACTGCACATGTGTGACTTCTCCTCGTCTCTTTCTCTCTGCAGTCGCAGCCTAGCCAGGCAACACCCAAACCGGCAGCTCAGGTCTCTACTGGGAAACCTGCAGAATTTGAGGTATAAAACATTCCTCTTTAATGCCTTGTAACCTCCTCTGTTCCTCCCTCTCTCTCTAATGAAACTCATTTGTTTACTTCCTACGTCTAGCTGACCCCTGACTGCCCTTATTATCGGATCCGTGTGTAGCATTGTTACTTTCTTTCCTGTCTTAGAACCGTGGTGTGTTTTAAAAGCTGCATCTTTTAAGTCGAGTAAAGACACGGGCTTTGCTATATCCTCGGTAGCACACAGAAAAAGGAAACTTTCCTTTTCCTTCTATTCAAACACAAGGCGGGTAACACCCAGTTTAACCCATTAAAGCTGCTCTGAAACAATGGATCGTCCATTTTTGGCTCACTTGACCAATCTCCAAACGTCATCGTTGTTCCTAATGCAACGATCATTAGGTTTCTTAAATTGTTGTCAACTATTAAATTGATGACTAACTATTTTAATATTCAATTAAAAAAAAATCCAGATTCCTTTTATTTGAGTATTCACTGGTTTGCTTACTCTGTGTCAGTAAACTGAATATGCTGTGCACAAAACGAGGACATCATCATGGGTTTTGGGAAACACTGGTTGACATTTTTTCACCATTTATTAACATTTGTTGACCAAAGAACCCATCGAGTCAACAAAAGAATAATCAATAGATTGCTCGACAATGAAAATAATCTTAGTGGACATGTTAAAAGACGTCACCAGTAGTCTAACGACGAAATAATTTTGCTGAAAAAACTGCAGACTGTACTTTATCAAACTTCCAGTTAAAGTACAGACAGTCTCTCAGTGGCCACTTTGTGTGTTTACACCTCCTTTAGGCTCCAAAACACAGCGAGTCCATTGTCTTAATGCGTCTCAATATTCTGTTTTATTTACTTGCAGACAGTGTTTAAACAGAACAAAGCAACAGTGACAGCCTGGAGTATTTTCACTTGTCCTTCAACAACTGGGCTTCAACTTTGTCTATTTTGGTGCCTGGCTTCTAGAGATGGGCTTTGGGAGGATATTTGGAAGTGACTGTGTGCAGAAAATAGATGCAACAGTATTTGAAGTAGCAGTAACAGCGTGAGGCAATTACATGTTTTTAATGCAGTTATTTATAGACTGAGCTTATATTACTCAGTCAGTAACCTTCAGCTGTAAGTGCCTCTTGTTAGCAGCTGACCTTTTTGCCCCTCTTCATCCTTCTGGGTCGACTTTGCCACAGTGCCGTAGCTGCTCATGTTTCAGTGGTTTTGTGTATGGGCAGCGCAACGGGCAGTTTAACATACTGAAAGATAGAAAAGTATGTAGCTACAATATGTATGTGTATTGGTTCAAGACATTTTTTCCAGCTGGCCTGATTCTTCTTGTATACCTGCCTGGTAATTGATCTATATTTTCCACTCTTGCTTTCACTTTAAAGGGGCATTCCAGCAATATTATATTGTACTCTGAGAAAGTTAGGGAATTTACAAGCAACAAAACAAGTGAAAGTGGAAGCAGAAGTAGCAGAGATATTTTTAGTCTTTGGTATAGGTGAAACTAAAGAACTACATCCTGCATTTCCCATAATGCAATTGATTGCTTACTGTTTGCAAAGGCTGAGTATTGCAATTGATAACAAGTAAACCATTGCATACATGAGCAGCTGCCACAAACATGCGAGCATCAAGAGCTCTAATAAAAGTAGATGATCAACTTCTCCACACCTGCAGAAGGCATCATCAGGATCTGCCATGGCTACAAAGCCTGGGGTGGTTACCACAGCAACAGGCGGAGCCACAGGAAGTGGGGTCACAACAGGAGGAAGTGCTGCAGTTGGAACAGCCAAAGCCAAACCAGAGGTTAGACGGACCCTGGAATAAAAGTGGAGGGGGGCTTTTGGCTGTTTGGTGTGATGTAACCCGAACCACTGCTTCCTTCTTCTGGACTCACCCTCGTTTTTCACCTTGCAAAACATTGTTACCTCTCTGTGCGTGCGATATCCAAAAGATGTTGGTCTTCATCAGAAGCTGAACGCTCGCTGTGTCACATTAACGAGCTCTCATATCACTGTGTTTGGGATCAATGCTCTTCACAAACTCTGGAGCTGACTTCATGAATCACTTTCTCGTGACTTTCTTTAAACACATGCTTCTTGGTTGTAGACTAACACTACGCTGGTCGGTGCTACTGTTATTGACATGACATCAGCAGGGGCGAGTGGAGGTCCTAGAGAGATGTTAAAGGTAATAATGTCTTTATGGCCAAAGTGCCATGTGGTGCTTTTTCTCGCTTTATTCCGAGTATCATACATTTGGTGTGTTTATTTGTACAGTCAGGGCAGAGACTCTCTTTTTATAGCTAATACTTCAGAGTGATATTGTAGTGTTATTTGTCTGGAAGGGTTTCTCTCTTTATAAACTGGGACTGCTGTTAAAAAGCTTCCTTTGTTTCCTTTTGGGAAACTCTGATTTTGTATGCTTATTTACCAGTATACTTTCAAATCAAACAACCAAGTTCATATAATCCACATGATTTTGGTAGCAACAAAGTTTGCTTATTGTACTGTTTTTTTTCTCCGTGTCTTGTGGCCTTGATGATATCTGATAACTACAGTTTTACTCAGCATCTGACTGAGATTTTAGATGTTAGGGCTTCTTGAATGCGACTTTTCAAACATTCTCTGCCTGTAGCTGCATTTACAGTACATATTATATGTTTGTTAGAGAGTTTTTAAGCTCTTATATTTTGCGTGGAAGACTAAAAGTTAATCTAGAAAGGTCAGCAGTACAGATAATTATACATATTTTGTTTTAAATGGGCTAAAGCATGAAAAAGCACCAGCTTTAAACATACACTGATCAATGGCCAGATTAGCATTTTCTTTTAGATTACTTGGCTGATCTGACCAGTGTTCACTGCACATTTTCTTCTGCTTTGTTTTCACTAACACATTCAATAAACTTTACACAACTCTTGTCATTGCATCTACTGGCTTTGAAGCTGCTGTGAGTCGTTCACCTCTGTGTTTTTGAGTAATCGTTTGGCTACGTGTTTGTAGACCGCACCTGCCTCCCAAGTCAAAAGCACAGCAGCAGTTTCTTCTGCCGCTGGAGCAGCTGCCACCGCCGCCGGCACGGCAGCGACCACCGCTGTGGGCAAAGCTAAAGAGTCACCCAAAGGCACCACTAAGGTAGACGTGAACAACATCAACAGGCTCTTCTGACTCTGTATTGCCTCCATGACTCTCTTGAGGTGTATCTTTCAAGGCTTGCTTGCCTTGCTGTCTTTCTTTCTGCATCTTTGTGTTGCAGAGTCTTATCAGGTTTTCTTACTGTCCTTACTTGAGAACACTCAAATCCCTACTTTGGACATTGCCATAGGAGTGTCTTTAAATACATCACTACTTTGACCTTCTTTTTTCTACTTTGAAGACAAGTTTTTGGGAAGTATAAAGGACTGTTATTCTTTTCTCCACAGCTCTTTGCGCAGCATGCCTCTGCTTGTTGTTATATTTGCTCATAGTGTATTTGCTCACTTTTCCATTTGTAACACCACATACATCATAAACTTGAGTCAGCAAGGAGGAGCAAATGAAGAGGAGAGGCCCACCGTTTGCTCTTTAGTCCTCTTAAGCTAGTTTCATTGCACAACAGCTGCTCATTTTTCTAAATGAATGACTTGTCACCAAGTTGGTGGAGGCTCTCTTCTGCTGAAGTTGGTTCTTTGGTTCCCTGTCTTTCATTTGTTTCTTTGGGTCTATTACAGAATTCATCTGTGTGGAGAAGACCTTCACTTTTACTTGACATGTGCTTGGGCTATAATAGATTGAAATTCATTGTATTATTGAGTGCCACTGCTGCTACTGCAGTCAAAGCTGATGTGCCTAAAATTGGTCCTGCTAAAACATCAAGGCTAGCTGCAGCAGCTCCAGCTTTGGCAAGAAATATATCTGTGGACGGAAAGTAAGGAGAAGCTAAGCCATCACAAACAAAGTTAGAGGATCCTAAAACCAAGTACAGTGGAGTTTGTCACTTGTATTGTCTGAATACTGATGGAAGGATGAATATTCTCATGGTGCTCCCTGTTCAATGAATGACTTGTTGGAGAGCAAGATTTGTCCTTAGGAACCTGCAGGGATTTTCAATTGGTGTCGATCTGTAGTGAATTTTCTTGGTGTTTGTTAGCATTATAAGGAAGAACTGTCACATGTGTCATATTTGTTAGCACAATTGGTGTTTCACATCATTAACTTATGTGCACTGATTCTGGATTTGTGTTTCAGGTGCAGGTGGAGGTTCCTGCCGCAACAGTCACAGGTGTCAAAGAGGTAAAGATCCTTGTTTTCAAAAGCATGTTGCTAGCTCCAGTTTGCTGAGTTGTGTTGCATGTGCAGGCGCCTGCGGTGCCAGATGCAACTAGAGGAAAATTTGAGAAATATGTTGGACTCTTTTTTTTCAAATTGGAACCAAAACTTGCCAATATTTGTTAACTTCCTAAATCATCACCATTTCACTTTTTCCTTTCCAGTCTAAAATCAGTCTATATTTTTTAGGGTTCACCTCCTGCAGATTAAACCCAAGGACATTCCTGTATGTAAAGCACTCTCAACTGGTCTTTAGCGGAGCCACAACCTCGTGCGCTCAGTCCAGATACATTTCAGACTCTCTCTTGAAAAACTTTTTCCAACATGTGTAAGCAAATGAGCAAACACTGACATTATGCAACCGTGCATGAAGCACTGTTTCCACTGTGTGATCTGCTGCTTCCTCTAGAGTGGGGAATGTTGCATTGCACCGGTAGGTGGTGTCTCAGCAAACATCACAGGACCCACCTTCTCTGTTTGAGCTCGTTCTCTCTTGTCGGACCAAACCCAAACACTCATAACTACGTGTGCATGACAACAAAGACACACACAATATATGCAGTGATGCATCTGTTACACACTGGGATATCCTTCCCTATGTAGTTTACTCATTATTCGCCCTCAGCACACCCACATTTGCATTTCAGTCTACTCTCACAGTGTCCTCGTGTCATGGAAGAGGCTTATTTGGTTCTTTCTCCCAAACTTTTTCAGTTAGATATTTTCTTCCTGTGCAACTTAAGCAGTTTTAGGTTTTGTGTTTATCATTTTTCTGATAAATCAACACGATTTTCTGTGTAAAATGTGTCTTTTAATAGAGTTTATTTGTAAGTTTGTGGAATGTGAAGGGTGTGTCTGTACTTTTTCTGCTCTGTTGGTACATGCAGTCTGGTTTGCATTATTTTGCCCTGTTGTTTGCTTTCGATTAGGTCAGTCGTGCCCTCTAGTGGATCATGTGGCTGTTTGACTATAATCTAGAGTAAATCTTCCATGATTAGATTGTTAGTTTAAAAACATCTGATAGGATCTAGATTTTGCATTGTTTTCTGGCCGTGATGTGTGTTCTGGTTATCATCTCAGAAACCACTGAGCACATTGTCATCTCCCCCTGCCACAGTACAGTTCAACAATGTCCTGTGAATTTAGTGACTACAGTCTGTGCAATGTGAACATCCAAAGCTGTAAAGACAAATACAGAGATTTCTGATGGTTTTAATTTGGTTTTCACCAGGCTTTAAAATTTTGATATTATTTTTACTTCATGTTAAAACATGACCACGTGTTGACAGTGTGAAGGAAACTTGACGTGCTGAAGTTAGGGATCATCTCAGCTTTTCCCAGTATAAATCAGAATCTTCATGAACACACACAGGTCGTTTTGATTTACACCCATGCAGTTGGTCTTCCAATATGAGCCATTAATTGCTTTTGATGACAAGTAAAATGACAATATATCAGCATAGTATAATCAAAGAATTGAGTAAGATGACAAGGTTACTTTCCATACAGACATTTTTCACCCAAGTTATTACTAAAAAGTTTAATGTCCTCTGTGTTGTCTGGTGCAGACACTGAAGTCAGTTGCTCCTGAGAAACCTGCTGCTGGAAAGGCCACTGACGTGAAGCCCAAGACCAGTCAGGTGAGATTCAGGAGATGTACAGCTCTTTTTTTCTGCATTTCTTCTTCTCTTCACGTCTTGCTGCACTTTATGTGTGGGATGGTCATTTTATTTCATTAGATAAACCATTAACATATCTCCTGTTCTCTCCTCAGGGTGGCTCCATGTCTCTGGATGCTCTCAGTAGTCTTGGTGATCTGCTGCCAACAGATGCACCAAAACCCAAAGCCCCTGAAGT